CAAAATTAGCACAGAAACAGTACTATATAACATTTTAGACACATTCTAGACAGTTTATCAGCTAAAAAAGTTAATTTAGGGGTAAGTTACTCTTTAAAGAACCCGAGGTTTGGACAGGACTGTTGGAGCGGGGGGCTCTGCCTGCACCGGGCCAGGGGGAGCAGAGTATCAGAGAACAGAGCCGTCTGAACGCAGCTCGTCTTTAAAAGCTTTCTTGGCTCTTCGGATCGTGGTTATTGTCTGCGGTGAACCACCAGCTGTTTGACTACTTGTGTCATGTTCTTTGTGCACAAATATGTCTTTATTTCTAATATCTGTTTAGTTAAGACCTCGTAAAGTACTTCTGATGCCACGTTGTATCGTTTAGTAACACAATATGTGCACTTTTTAAGGTTTCGGTTTGTTCTGTTCTGCACCTGGGCTAAAGCTAGAAACAAAATAAATGATTTAATCTGACTGGTAGCTTTTAAGTTTTAGCATGGAAGTGGAAAAAATACACAACTAAATGAAGCGAACGACATCAAACTGTTGTTTTTAATCCACGTTTGTGTTTGTTGTGAATATAATCCATCATTAAAAAGACTTGTGCATCAAAATTAACCTTTTAAATAAGTCAAGGCCCGGTCACAGACACAACTTATATTTGTTTCATGTCCAAATTACTAATACAAGTTATATTAGATTACAGTATGTATACGTAAAATATGCTTCCAGTTGAGTTTATTTAATTCCATTTTCAACAAAGATGTCTTAAAAATGTTCATAAGTTGTGTAAAATCTTATAGTGTGACAGGAACAAAAGGTCTTTTTAATCTTGTTTTCCTATCCTAGATTACACCACTTAATCTGTAAAGATTCAGACTATAATCTAGTCTTTTATATGCATTTTATTGTATCACCATAATTCCTGCCAGAGCTAAAATCTTTTTAAAGTTTTGCCTGTTTTGAGCCGACACAAGTTTATTTTATTTACACAAACATTTTCTTTTTCAGGTTTTATTGTACAGAAATACACTGTAAAAAGCTAAATGAAAACTTACCTAAAAGTAGAAACCAGTTTACTCAGACTCAGGTGCTCCTCTTTATCAGATCAGGATTTATTGTTTTTAGAGGTAAAACCGGATTAAGATTCTGGTTTTTTCRTCCTGAAATGCAGCTTTTGAAAAGTTTTCTTTTATCCGTCATCACACGACTGAATATTTGTGGCGAAAGGAATGCCGTCGTTGTCAGCCTCGGCTAACACAACAACGGTTGAGCATGCACAGCTCAGCTCTCCACCACGAGTCTTTTACAGCGACCCGTTTCCTTCGTGTCACATGAATGTTTCTAATATAACCAGTCAAATGTGGAGCAGATGATCCTCTGCAAAACACCAAGCCTTGTGTGTACACAATACCATGGAGTGCAACTTAAAAACAGTACACAACCACCGTGACTGACTGTTTTAAAGACGAGGGCACATGCAGGGGTCAGATTTCTCCTCTCAAACTTGATTAAATACAACAAAGCTGATGCAAAACTCACTGATAACTGAGGTTATCAGATGAAGTAACAAAATAAAACTCATCCTCTAAAGTATGCAGTTGGATTGTTTAATAAAAATTAACCTCAGCCTAAACTGTCACTCAGTCCTGGGAACAGCTCTACCGCCCCCTGCTGGCCGCTACATGAACTGCTCCCACATGCAGACAGGACCCCTTGTTGTCATTTTAAACTCTGAGGGATCTGATTTCCTGGAGTCCATCGCTTGGACATAAGTGGAGACATGAAATCAGCCAGGACGTGGCTCCTCATCGCTGCTCGTTTTGGGTGAAGGCCCAGAAAAACGAGCCGCAGAGGTTGTGAGAAAACGTCAGAGAGCATCATGTGAGCTCATTAGCCAATAATAGAGGGCAGAAGGAGAGACAAAGACAAAGTAAAAGAGAGCTAGGAACCAGAGGGGGGCAACGAGAAAGAAAATACAGAAAGCACATCTGCCAGAAGGAATGATGAGCTTGTTAGTGGTTTGCAAACCAGATGAGACATTTTAACTAATTTGATTGTTTGTGAAAGAAATCATTCTGATCAAAACCCAAATTGCTGCCAAGTGCAGGCCTGGTGYGTGTCTGTGTAATGCAGGCTGACGTGCTGGGAGGAAGAGGAGCGAGGCTGCAGAGCKGGGAGGCACACATGGGGGACGTTAGCCCTCACCCCTCTGACTTCAAACACATGAAAGTGTAAAAACGGGCCGTTTTACCGGCTAAAACARCTAACGACAGGATTACAGGAAGTCCGCAAAGCACCCTTCAGTCGCTGCAGTTTACTTCAACTGAAACACATTCAGGCTAAAGCTGCGAGCTGCTTAAAAAGTGATAACAACACTGAAGCCGTGAAGTTTCCATTTTACTTTAGCCCAAGAGGCGGAGCTTGTGTAACCTGCCACAGAGAACACAACAGGTGAAATAACACAATTATCTAAAGCTATTTCTGTAATCCTAATAAAGTTCTGCTGTACAACAACATCCCATTTCTCCTTTAGTATATTTACACTTTAACCCACTAACATACAAGTATGTCTTTGTGCAATTGATGCATTATAGCCTAATCTTTAAACCTCAAACGTGTGTTAATTCTGTTGCAGCAGACTAATCTTTTTGTTTACGTTTGAAAACAGCTGAAGATCTGAAAACAGGTCAATAATGGTGACAAGATCACCAGGAACACTTTGGATGCACTGATATGCATTTATGCCCTGTTTAAGTGTGTATGTAAAAGTACTTTTATTCCTGCAGGAACTAAAACGGTTACATTTTCATCACATTTCTCTTTCCTGTAAAAGTAAAAGTTTTTGATTACACTTGTAGGAAGCAGCTGTCACACTATGATCATTATTTAGTTTTGAAATGACCAACCACTGATTTAAACAACTTTTGAGTCACGTTTTGATGTAAAACAACAACATTGTTTTTATTTTTCACCACAACTTTGTGGCCAAAGCGCTCTGGAATTGTTCAACTATTCACACAAACATACGACAAATTCAGTCAAGCTGCCAGGCAAGACGCAGAATTGTGGGATAAGAAAATAAAAAGGTCAGTTGTGTACTAAATAAGTCGTCATCACCACTTAATACTTAAATATTAGTATTTATAAGAAATACTAGAGGTGTGATTTAAAAGCTGTAATAAATAAAACGTACATGCAGGATGTACAGAAGTGGAAAGCAACACAAACCTGATTAAAGGTTTTAAAGTGAAGCTCCTTGAAGATGGCGTCCCGTTCCTCCACATCCATCCAGCCTGTGGCCCTGAGCTCCATCACCAGCTGGTCCCGGTCTGCAGGGCTGAGCCAGTGGGAGTCTGACGACTGGGGACCATTAAACCCAACATTAACATTAACTGACRGACAACATGTCAGCCTTTTTGTCTCTCATATCATTATAATGTATCAAACCTGGTGCTGTTCATGCTTTGTCCGCTAGGTGGGAGTGCAACACCAAAAACAATCACCTGTCGTTGCTCCAAACATCAAACCATATTTGTTTTTAAACCCTACATGTATTAATTCTAAAAATATATTCCTTAAATTCTTTATTTTTTTTGTTACAACTCATGAAAAATAACTAACAATTACCATACGTTTTTAACACGTGGAAAAATTAAAGGAAAATTTTGAGAATGGTCAGTTTTTTGTAGTAGTAGTCAGTGTGTATTGTCAATACAATGCACACTATTGTGATTCGTTTCCCATCCAAGTCGTCTCAACTTTGCCATGCTTCTCCTCCTGCATACTTTGTCCTAGAGCTGCCATTGTAATTTATATCTGTAAAG